CGAGCCGGGCTTTTTATCGAACATTTGTAGGATACCCAGATAATCATACTTTACCATGTATGTGTATATATATATATATATATATATATATTTATTTATTTTATTTATTTTATTTTATTTTTTATCAAGGTGTCCGCCTTCGACGATTATTCCTTGGGTCTGTGATCCGACCCCTCTTCACACAGACCAATTAAATCGCGGGATGTGCCTCCTACTAACTAGGGTCCGAGCGCCTCTCCAACTGAACTGTCAAAGTGCCTAGTGAGCCAACCCACGTTGCGCCTTACCTTCCAAGACATTCCTGCCTTCCAGGATAAATCCTGCATTCCAGTATATGCCTTGCCTTCCAAGAGCCCTAGGAATCGAACCCACGACCTCTGAACTACCAGTCTTGAGAGAACCCATCATTTGCCAGTGGAGAAGTGCCCCGGAGGGCGACTTTACCATGATATCTTTATAATATGGAGAACCATACATGGCAACAAGAAAAATGTCCACTTGGTGCCAAATTAAATTTGCAATTCAATAGTGAATAAACCTAAAGAATTAGAGAGTTTGAAAGTGAATGCATGTGTTGTCCACGTTACTGTGAGTTGAATTCTTCAAACGAGCCTTTAGCATTAATAAAATTCCAAGTTTCCTGTCATGCTATATCTTTGAAGGAATTTTAATAATGAAGTAACACCATCTCCTATATATTTTATTTACCATTTTTTGCCGAAAGAGAGCCCAAGCAGAGCAGATAGAAATGGTGGCTGAAATAAAACAGTTGCAGCCAACATATTGAACAGAGAGTCGTAGTAGGAGATGAGACATGATATAGGCATGAGGGTTTGGAATAACCCGATGATCATGAAAAAATATTCTTTCTTGACGACACCTTCTCCTTCTGAATGAAAGAAAATCAAATGCAGTTGCTGGATAAGCTTTTCACCACTAAGATAAAACGGTACCCTGGACAATCCTTTTTGTATGTAAATTGCAATTTGTAGTTTCCAAGACTGTAGTGTTTCTGCCTTCAGTTTAGAATAAGTGTCAGCCCAAACGAAACCAATAGAACCATTGGGCCTAATAATTAATTTGTAAGGCAATGCAAATAAAAGTCATTAGCAGCCAGTAGAAGTGTCCAAAGGGCTTGATGATATCTGATGCTATGAGACCCAAATAAAATAATCTATCCCAAATTATGCATAAAATGTTTGATCCAAGTCCGCCAAAGTCCATCAATATATTACTTCAAACTAAGTTGGCTTCTTAATATTTCTAAGCCCAGATGGCCCAAAAACTTCACACCCACTCAGAAAACATGGGATTGGTAAAAATAAATCTCCAATACCAATTTCACATTATTTTGAAGCCCAACCAAAATGATTATAACATAACTTTGTATAAAACTTAGGCCTAAGTTCACTGTTTCCAACCTTGGATGAAACTGAGTTAATAATAGTACCAATCAAGCTGTAAAAGTTTACCTTCATGAACCATTTGAATGAGCAACCTCTCTCCATCAAAATTAATGTTTATCTAGTGGTTAGAAGCAAGAACCACTGAGTGCCGATCGCTATGGTATTCCAGGATGTCGCTAGTGCCGATGACCTCCTTAACGACCTTTGTCGAAGGTGGTGAGATGTGAGGCTGCCTTTATGATCGAAGCCACTTTCCTTTTTCTGCTCTTTCAACAACTTCATGAACAATGGATTATTAAATACATAAAAGGGATTGCAAATACATATTTCTTTGTTTCTCATCTTGACTTTTCCCAACTTTTATAGCCACACACCATTTTGAAATATTTTTTTCTTACTCCTTTCTATTATCGATTCCATGGTGGTGAAGGTGA